GGGGCAACGATGTTATGAATTTTCCTATGCACTATGCTGGTTCCATCCAAATTTTTACCAGTTTACAATGCAACCCACAACAAATAATACAGTTTTTTTTTTTTTTTTTTTTTTGACAGGCAGAGTGGACAGTGAGAGAGAGAGACAGAGAGAAAGGTCTTCCCTTTTCCGTTGGTTCACCCCCCAGTGGCCGCTCTGGCTGGCGCACTGCGACTGGTGTACTGCACTGATCCAAAGCCAGGAGCCAGGTGTTTCTCCTGGTCTCCCATGCAGGTGAAGGACCCAAGCACTTGGGCCATCCTCCACTGCCCTCCCAGGCCACAGCAGAGAGCTGGACTGGAAGAGGAGCAACCAGGATTAGAACCCGGTGTGCCGGTGCCGCAGGTGGAGGATTAGCCTATCGAGCCACAGCGCCAGCCCAAATAATAGTTTTACTGCAACTTCAATAGCATTAAGTCTTATGTTTTCTATAATTTTTTTATTTTATTACAAGCCAGAGAGACAGAAATCTTTTCTAGTTCACTTCCCATATGCCCATAACAACTGTGGCAGGACCAGGCTGAAATCCAGGAGCCTAGAACTCAACCTGGGTCTCCTACATGGGTGGCAAACAACCAAGTACTTGAGCCATCACCTGCTGACTCTCAGGGTGTGTGTTAACAGGAGTTAGAAATGAAAGGAAAGCTGGGAATTGAACCCAAGCACTGGGATATGGGACATGTCTTAACTGCTGTGCCAAATGCCCACTTTTTAAACCTTGTTAGTCATGAGCAAGAAGTAAAAGAGTATCATGATGTTATAATTTGCTGTCAATAATGAACACACATCCATGTATGTTTGTTGGCTGTGTTTCCTCAAGTGGATGAATTCTTCTTATGAACTATGAATTTATCCATGAAGTTTTTTAATCTAATCAGGTTTATTGAGATATAATATATATATTATAAACTGTACTCTCTTTAGTGTGAAGTTCCACAACTTTTAACAAATATATACAGTTACAAAATAGTTCTATCATCCCCAAAATTCTCTTTGTATCCTCTGGGTTCATGTTTTCCACCATATCTCCATAGCAATCATTAATCTGTGTTCTTTTTTTTTAAGATTTATTTATTTGAGAGGTAGGTTATAGACAGAGGGAGAGGCAGAGAGAAAGGTCTTCCATCTGCTGGGTCACTCCCCAAATGACTGCAATGACCGGAGCTAAGACAATCCTAAGCCAGGAGCCAGGCACTTCTTCTGAGTCTCCCATGTGGGTACAGGAGCTCAAGCACTTAGGCCATCTTCCACTGCTTTCCCAGGCCATAAGCAGAAAGCCAGATCAGAAAAGGAGCAGCTAGTACACAAACCAATGCCTATATAGCATGCTGCTGCCTTAGCCTACTATGCCACAGTGCCAGCTCTAGTATCTCATTTTGATTCAACTCTAGTTTCCATCAGTCTTTGCTGTGATGACTTTAAGGATTTCTTGACTGTGACCGACAATACAAATATATTTTACATCATGTCTTAATGCACACAAACATACACACACCTAAAACTGAAGCAAAAATTTCAGGAAACAAAACTTCTCCCCCACTATATGTGATGCACTCTTGATATTTTCAATTCTATTTGCTGTTGTTGTTTTTTCTTTTCAATGCTGTTTATAACACCCCCCCTCCAAATTGATTTCATGACCTACTGATAAGTCAGAAACTCATTTGGAAAAGTATAAATATGGCTTTATCAAAGTGGTACAACCTCTGTCCTGTTTTGACTCTGAGTTTAAGTAGTATCTAAGGACGGACTAAGCCAGACCACCAGGACAGCTCCCTGAGTGGCCTGTGAAATAAACTGTCCTTTTCCAAGTACAGAGGTTGGTAGTCCTGGCCTGATGGGGTACTGACAAGTGAAGTAAGGTTTTGCTGCTCCTGGGGTGCTCTAGTCTGCCTGGTGAGGTGGGTCAGTAGGGAGGTGACCTGTTGGGAAAAGGTACTGGGGCCGAAGTAGAGAGCCACCGTGAACCTTTTTTATGCAGAACTAGTCTGCTGGGAGAGGCCAGCAGTGGTGAGGGAAAGCATGGCTACAGCCTGGCTCTGCCCAGTGGTTCCGCAGAAATCCTGCAGAATGCCCAGGTCAGCTCCAGGAGGAAACAAAATCATATTGTGTGTGTCGTGCTGAACCCAGACTGGAAAAACAATGGCAAAAGGGAAGGATGAAGATTGCTGTAACTGTCTCCAGTTGCTTGTAGAGAGTAAGTGGAAAAAAGGAGAGGGCTTGTCCCCATCCCTACCTGGAAATGCAGTGATGAGTAATCTGGTACAGAAGGTAGGGAGAGCCGTGGTCATTCTTTGGGTAGGCGACAACCTTCCAGCCACTCCCCCAGTGTGGCTCTGGCGTAGGTTTTTGTGCTCCAAATCACAAAAGTGAGTTTTAACTCTTTAAGCAGCATCTTAATTCTCTTGCCTATTAATGAAATGGCTGTCTGAGCCTCGCCAAGGGTTTCAAAAGACACAATACTAACACATCTACTTAGTCCCCGGGGAGCCCTTAACCTCTTCTCAATTTAACCAAAATGAAACCAAGAACATTAGGACACTGCTACAGGTGAAATTCTGGCACCAGGTGGACAGATCACACATTCCAGTGTATTTGACTTTCTGACTTCTCAGGACTAGAGTTTTAAGGCTTTACCTAATCTCTTTGAGCACCTTAGCCTTACAAACTCGCAGAGTAGTTTCTGCCTCACACCTGCTACTCAGCATTTATGACTTATGAATATTCATGAGATAGCTTTAGAATGTAAGAGTCAAGGGCCTGCGCTGTGGTGGCTGTGTTGTAGCGGGTAAAGCCTGCAGCACCAGCATCACATATGGGCGCTGGCTCCAGGCCTGGCTGTTCCACTTCATTTCCAGTTCCCTGCTAATGTGCCTGGGAAAGCAGCAGAAGATGACCAAGTACTTGAGCCCTTGCACCCACATTGGAGACATGGAAGAAGCTCCTGGCTCCTGGCTTTGGCCTTGCTCAGCCCTGGCCATTGTGGCCATTTGGGGAGTGAATCAGTGGACAGAAGATTCTTTTTCTCTCTCTCTCCTTTTGCCTCTGCCTCTCTGTAACTCTACCTTTCAAATAAATAAATAAGTCTTTAAAAATAAAAGGTGGGGGAGGAGGCCCAGCTAGTGGCCCTATTACTCCTTCAGGGACCTGGCCTTACATCAGAGGTCTTAAGATGTGGGAGCTAGTTTCTGAGCTTAGTAAACTCAGTGTAGAATGCAGAGAAAGTTTGGTTAAAAAAAAATACAAGAGTCAGAAAAAATCCTTTTGCTTCCCAGTTTGGAACAGTCCTTGTACAGAGGGTATTGTACCTTCTGCTCCAGTTTTCAGAGATAAGATCTTTCTAAGATTTCCCTTAGGCTCAGGAAAGGGTCAAGACATTTTGGGGGCTTTTAGGTCAGAGAAGGATAATACTTTCTCATTTCAGGGTGTCTTGCTGTTGCTTCTTTCTTCATTAGAGTGAATGCTGCATCCCTACCTCCTCCTTTCTATGCATCCATTTCTTGCAGTGGGTGGGACATTTTCACATGTGCCTCTGATTAGGGGACAGATTTGTCAATAAATCTATGGGGGGTTACCGCTGTCATCTACAGACAGCACCCTCCCCCCCGCCCACACACACACTTGCTCTGGAATAGATTAGAATGTTTCACTTAGTGAGGGGAGCTGGTCTGAGAAAGATCCTCCCCTCCTTGCCCTGAAGTGTCACCCTCATTCTGAGCTGATCTGAGCAGCCCAAGTTCCTGCTAGCTCTTTGCCTGCAGCTCCTTGGGGGTCCCAACAGTTATGTACCTGGCCCTACAATAGCTTTATATCTGAGGGGCTACAGTATGACCAAGTTCACCTGGAAAAAATGTCAGCTTATTTGATTACAATAGTGGGTTTGAACCTTACCTCCTTAGAAGCTCCTGGAAGCTTAAAAAAAAAAATATCAGTGATTAAGCTGTATCCAAGAACTCAGAGGGCTGGGACCACGCATCAATATTCTTTTAGAGCTCCCCAGGTGTTCCAGCATACAGTCAGGTCCTGCAACCAATCCCTAGTAATACAGGGACCTAGAAAGCCAGCCTGCAGTTTATCGTTCAATTCTAAGATGATCTCACCCTTCCCTTGAATCCCTAGAACAATGAAAATTCTGAATGGTTGATCACAGTGCTGGAGCAGTAGGAAAGCTTTTGGGGGCGGGGATGGGTTGGCAGACCGGGTACACAGACAGCATTTTTAACCATGGACTTATGATTTGGTTCCAAAACAAACGCAGTGCTCCGGAAGTCATCCGGTGCATCAGTGTGCTTCCAGGAGGAACGAACTTAACCCTTCCCCCTCCCCCTTTTGTTAAGGACCCTCAGAAGAAACATTTGCAGGGCTTCCCTTGCAGTCCCAGTACATGCGCATCGGCCTGTTTACCGAGCCGCGTAAGCGAGCGCTGGCGCCCTCTTCTGGAGCGCCAGGGATGTCCCTCTGGTGGAGCAATTGTTCCTTTGGGATGAGCTCATGGATTCGCTTCCTTGCACTCAGTAGAAAGCACAAGGCTTCACCAGGAACCTCCTGGCAATTCCTCTGACACCTGACATTGGTTTGCCTGGGGGGTGCTGTTTCTTTGATTGTGGGATAGGAAGATTTTTTAAAAGTCGATGAAAATGGCTGGGAAACAGCTCTGTTGCTTCTCTGATAGGGTTTAGGATGCATCTTTGGGATGCATGGTGTCCGCACTGGTGAGGTGGAAAGCGGCACTCAAGACAAGGATATTGGGCTATAGGTCCTACTGGTTAAGAGAACAGTGTGGTTAAAAGGATGCCAAAAAAAAAAAAAAATCTAAGAAACTCAAAGACGTCAGAGAGCAAAATGCTATTTAAACGTTTAAGCAATTTAAAGATGTGCTTTTTTTTTTAAGGCATGCATCAAGACATCAACTTGTCATTTAGAAGATCTGCTTACCCAAAGGAAGATTTGATGGTACTTACCAAGCAGGGCTTCAAACCGGCATCTTCCCTCTGGGTGACAAATGCCTGCCGCTTCTGCAGGTCGGTCGGCCTCAGTACACAGGTGCAGCCGCTGTGGCTGCACACAGCCCAGGACCTGGCACTCCAGCAGGAGGGGAATCCCGTCGGCGGTTACGTGCCTTTCGCACCTGTCCCTTCCCCCAGCTCTGTCGGGTCCCACAGGTCCAGAGTGGACCAAATGAGGAGATCCGGGCCCCTGCCTCTCGGTCGGCGCTCACCGCCGCACCTTAGCCGTGCTGGTGAGGGCAGCGCAGCCGCGCCGCGGGCTGCGGGCTCGCGCGGTTGCCGTGGTAACCTGGAAGGCTGCGCCGGGGGCTCCCGCAGCGAGCTAGGCCCGCAGCCAAGGAAAAGGTGCGCGACGCGCCTTGACGCTGGGCTCTCTGCCGGTGTCTGGGGAGCTGCGAGGGACTGGGAGTGGAGTTCCTGGATGGCATCATCCGGAAAGCCTGCTCTTGAGGGTCAAAGCAAAAGCAAAACCAAAGCACTCTGCTCCTCCCCAATCCCCACTTCAGCGCACACACTAGCATCCTAAGGGCTGGAAGCTGCGGTGCTGTCTTGAGACCCCTTGTCCTGAGAATCCTGCCAACCACACAGCAGAATGTTTGCAAGGCTTGCCCTTGGACATACGTCCTCCGGCAGCAGCATCAAAGGGCAGACCTCTGGGAAGCTGAATAAGCAAGTTAACTTCTTTGGGCTGTAGTGACATTCCGACAGTGTAAAGGGTAAGTTTGCAGGCATCTTACAAAATGAAAAATACTAAGGATATGGAAAGCCTTGTTGCCTGGTTTTTTTTGGGGGGTTTATATTGTGTATATGTACTGGAATACTACATTGTACCCCGTAAAAATACGTAAGTATTGCATGTTAATTAGAAAAATTTAAAATTAAAATGATCTTAAAATATTCCATCTGTTAAAAAAAACTATAAAGTTGGATTACTGTAGATGATGATGATGGGTTTGGGCCATATCCCAAAAGATAGTAATTTTTTAAAAAAGATTTATTTATTATTCGAAAGGGAGAGTTACAGACAGGCAGAGGCAGAGAGAGAGAAAGAGGTCTTCCATCTGCTGGTTCACTCCCCAAACGGCCTCAGTGGCTGGAGCTGGGCTGATCAGAAGCCAGGAGCCTGGAGCTTCTTCCTGGTCTCTCATGCCAGTCAGGGGCCCAAGGACTTGGGCCAACTTCTACTGCTTTCCCAGGTTTGGATTGGAAGTAGAGCAGCCAGGGATGCTGGCACTGCAGGCTGTGCCTTTACCAGCTATACCACAGTGCCAGCCCCAAAAGATACAGTCTTGATGTTGAAATCCTGACAGGTTTAAAATTTCTAAGGTCTAATATGCCAAAAGATCAAAATTCCAAAAATAGAATGCTAGGAAAATTGAAAAATTCTTTTAAAATATTTATTTATATTTTTCCCTTAAATTTTTCCCACTATTTATATAAAAAGCAGAGCAACAGAGAAAGAGAGAGACAGAGAGAGAGAGATCTTCTATCCATTGGTATATGCCCCAAATTCCAGGCTGAAGACAGCGCTCTGACTTCATCTAGGCCTCTCACCTAGGGGTGGGGCGCACGTACTTCATTCAGCATGTGCTGTCTCCCAGGATGCATTAGCAGGAAGCTGAATCAGAAGCAGAGTAGCCAGGGCTCTAAAAAGCACTCCAATATGAGATGCAAGCTTCCCAAGCAGCTGCTTAACCCACTGTACCACAACACCTACCCCATTTATTTACATTTTTAAGGGAAATTTGTTTGAGAAATATAAACCCGTGAGAGAACACTTCATGGGCCACAATAAAATAGGCAATGAGAGCTTACATTTTTTTTTTTGCATAAAGATTTGGATGTACTAATGATGGTAGCATTGGTATAATTATTATGCACAGGTGTACTCTATTTTTAAAGAAATAGATAAGGCCGGCGCCACAGCTCACTTGGCTAATCCTCCACCTGCGGCGCTGGCACACCAGGTTCTAGTCCCAGTTGGGGCGCTGGATTCTGTCCCAGTTGCTCCTCTTCCAGGCCAGCTCTCTGCTGTAGCCCGGAAGTGCAGTGGAGGATGGCCCAAGTCCTTGGGCCCTGCACCTGCATGGGAGACCAGGAGGAAGAACCTGGCTCCTGGCTTTGTACCAGAGCAGTGCGCCGGCCGCAGTGCGCTGGCTGCAGTGGCCATTTGGAGGGTTAACCAATGGAAAAGGAAAGGAAGATCTTTCTCTCTCTCTCTCTCACTAACTCTGCCTGTCCAAAAAAAAAAGAAAAGAAAAGAAAAAAAAAGAAAGAAATAGATCAAGATGTGAAATGTATAAATGCATATCACTATGGTCAGTATTGTGTGCAGTTTTTTTTTTAAAAAGATTTTATTTATTTATTTATTTATTTGAGAAGTAGAGTTACAGACAGTGAAAGGGAGAGACAGACAGAAAGGTTTTCCATCTGCTGGCTCACTCCCCAAATGGCCGCAATGGCCAGAGCTGTGCTGATCGGAAGCCAGGAGCCAGGAGCTTCTTCTGAGTCTCCCACATGGATGCAGGGGCCCAAGCGCTTGGGCCATTTCCTACTGTTTTCCCAGGCCATAGCAGAGAGCTGGATCAGAAGTGGAGCAGCTGGGACTAGAACCGGAACCCATATGGGAATCTGGCACCGCAGGCTGAGGATTAACTTGTGCCACAGCGCTGGCCCCGTGTGTAGTTATTTGAAATACCATGATGGGCAATTTAAGTCATTTGCTGAGATTGTTCAAAAACCATGATTGATCAGAACCACATACACAGTTGCCCAAAGAGCAGAGATCTTGCAGAATTTTGCCTTTTATAAATGCAGATGTACAAAATGACAGCTCTTCATTTATTGAGGAAATTTCATTGTTTTTGCATACATGCGCAATGCTTACATATAATGTCAGTGCTGTGATAATGTGTTTCTGAGTCAAGTTTCCTAAAAATACATTAAAATGCTAAAACTATGTAGTTTTTATCTCCAGGATTATATATGATGCCAAGATGAAATACATAGCATAGTAAATTGTAAGAATGTTGACACCTTAAAATAGTGAGAAAAAGGGAAAAAAACTCAAAAAAAGGAAATTTTGACATTGGAGAAGCTGTATTATAATATAGATTATGGGCCATCGACTGGAGGCAGTCCATAAGAGCTAGCTAACTTTTACCTTCCTTAATTGAATCTTTAAGTCTTGATTTTGGTGAACACTTGCTTGTTTTCTCCTAGGGACTGGGTCTCTTCAGAAAATATGCTCACATTTATTTTCTATGTGGTACTGCTCCTTTTGAAATTCTATGATTCCATATACACCAACATGAGCATTCCCCCTATTAAATTTTCCCATCTCTGCTTATTCTGTGTTGTTTGGGGTACATGGAAATCCATTCTGAATACACTCATGTACAGTCCACATATTTGGCTGAAACAATACTGGTGATTGAATAACAAACCCAGTACATGTCTTCTTATCCTACAGTGCACATCATTACTGCCTAGCCTATCAGTAACTTTGTTGACTTCTTCAGGCAAATGCAGCTTTAATTCATTAAAGGATCCTACAATTTCATCAGTGGGAAGAAATGTCAATGTAGACAGATGATGTATCTTTTTAAAAGATGATAACCTTTTTTTCCCCTAATTTTTATTTATTTTCATTTTATTTGAAAGGCAGTGAGACAGAGACAGGCAGAAAGAGAGATCTCTCATCTGCTGATTCACTCTCCAAATGCCTGCAACAGGCCAGGCTGGGCCAGACTGAAGCCAGGAGTCAGAAACTCAATCTGGATTTCCCATGTGGGTAGCAGGGACCCAAGTACTTGAACCATCACCTGCTGCCTCCTAGGGTGTGCATTAGCAGGAAGCTTGAATTGGAAGCAGAGCTAGGACTCCAACTCAGGCACTTTGATTTGGAAGGAGAGTGTCCCAAGCAGGGTCTTAAGCACTGTACCAAATGCCTGCCTCAAATGATAAATTTTTTTACCTTTTAAAAAAAAATTTTATTGGGGCAGGTGCTGTGGTGCGGTAGGTTAATCCTCCATCTGTGGCACAGGCATCCCATATGAGCACCGGTTCTAGTCCTGGCTGCTCCTCTTCCAATCCAGTTCTCTGCTGCGCCCTGGGAAAATGGTAGAAGATGGCCCAAGTCTTTGGGCCCCTGCACCCACATGGGAGACCGGGAAGAAGCACCTAGCTCTGAGCTTCAGATAGGCATGGCTCCAGCCGTTGGGGCCATTTGTGGAGTGAACCAATGGACAGAAGACCTTTCTGTCTGTCTCTCCCTTTCACTGTCTGTACCTCTTCCTCTCAAATGAATAAAATCAATCTTTAAAAAAATAAAAAAAATTGTTATACAAGTTTTATGTATTTCATATATACAGATTTAGGAATGTAGTGACATTTCTCTCCCTAACCTTCCTCTTGCCCATGCTCTAACCCTTCCTCCTCCTCCCTCTTACATTCCCACTCTTAATTTTTACAAAGATGTTTTTTTCAGTTTAACTTAATGACCACATAGTTAACTCTACTTTAAGTAAAAGAGTTCAACAAATGGTATGAAGAGAGAGAGGAAAAAAACACCCTGTTCCTCAATGGAAGAGACAAGGGCTGTACACAATCATTGAACTGTCGAATCTCAAAATATCTATTTCATTCTAATACACTACATTTTGGGTACTGTATTAGTTACCTTGGATCAGGGAAAACATATGATATCTATCTTTTGGGGACTGACATATTTCACTAAGTATAATGGTTTCCAGTTTTGTGCATCTTGTTGCAAAAGACAGGATTTCATTTTTTTAAATCACTGAGTAGTACTCCATAGTGTATATATATACATCATAATTTCTTTATCCAGTCAACAGTTGATGGACATCTAGGTTGATTCCATATCTTAGCTGTTGTGAATTGTGCTGCAGTGAACATGGGGGTACAGATAGTTCTTTTATGTACTGATTTCTTTTGGTTTGCATAAGTTCCCAGGGGTGGGATGGTAGATCTATATTCATATTTCTGAGGTGTCTCCATTCTGTCTTCCATAGTGGCTGCAAAGGTTTACATTCCCACCAACAGGGACCAGGGTACCTTTTTCTCCATACCCTTGCCAGCATTTGTCATTTGTTGAATTTGTCATTTGTTGATTTCTATAGGAGAGTCATTCTAACTGGAGTGAGGTGAAACCTCACTTTTTTTTTTTTTTTTTTTTTGACAGGCAGAGTTAGTAAGAGAGAGACAGAGACAGAGAGAAAGGTCTTCCTTTTCCATTGGTTCACCCCCCACCCCCCGCAAATGGCCACTACGGCTGGTGCGCTGTGGCCAGCATGCTGTGCTGATCCAAAGCCAGGAGCCAGGTTCTTCCTCCTGGTCTCCCATGCGGGTGCAGGGCCCAAGCACTTGGGCCATCCTCCATTGACCTCCAGGGTCTCAGCAGAGAGCTGGCCTGGAAGAGGAGCAACCGGGACAGAATCCGGCGCCCCAACTGGGACTAGAACCCCGGGTGCCGGTGCCACAGGCAGAGGATTAGCCAAGCGAGCCACGGTGCCGGCCCTCACTGTGGTTTTGACTTGCATTTCCCTGATGGCTAGTGAGCCTGAGCATTTTCTCAGTTGTCTGT